AGCATATCAACATTTCCGAGATATACGTGAATTTACATTTTCACACTTTTTGAAATTTGGCATATTTAATATAAGTGATAATAACAAACATGTGGTTCACGCACTTTGTTAAAATTATCTGAAAGAATTAACGATGGACCTTTTTTTCCTCTCGTGCATCAATGTAAAATAAGGAAAGTAAGTAGGTTACTATAAATTAAGAATTCTGCTAAGTGAATTATTCTTGGCACAAACTGAAAAAAAGTATGCCAACGTAAATTTTTAAATTTCTCCATAAATGTGTTACCAAAAATTACAGAATTTAATATCTAGGCATAATTTGAGTCGTAGAATCGAAATATGTGAAAAAATTGATGTTATTTAAAAAAAGTCAGATTTTGTGTCAAAATACCTATGTTAGAACAACGCTATATATAAATTTAATACATATCCTAAGTTGTGCTTTCGAGACATGATAAATGCAATTTGAATTTTGTTAGTTGGCCCAGTAGAATGGCAGATACAGAACAGTCCCCCCTCCCCCCTTTTTTTGCAGTGTACATATTATTTATTTTCCTTTGATTAACAGCATTAATCTCTTTGACGAGTGTAGCACCATCCACTGGTTCATATTGGAATTTTTTTTTCCCCTATGCCAAACAATATTCCATTTCCTCACATATATTCAGATCAAAGCTCAGGTTACTGTCATCAGTAATTCTCATTTTACATCATTTTGAAATTGCAGTTTTAATTATAAAAATTTGCATAAAATATGTTTACCATTTCTTGAAAATTCTAGGCTAGGTTTCGTTCCCATTTACCTCTTATAGTAAATTAAGACACAATAACACGCCGAACAAATACCAATTCCGAAGTCAAACAACAAAAATCAGCGTTATATTTTCAAATTTTCACAGGACTAGTTTGGATGGTTTTACCGAACCACCATCCTGAGCTGCAAAAGCACAAATGAAAAGCCTAGACAGAAAATAAGCTAGTAGCCTGAAACCAGAACTAAAACATGATTTCTTCAAAGGGCAAAGGCAAAGATGGATTGGAATAAGGTCATTAACTAGAACAGAAAGATTTTTTTGAATGTGAAATGCCTCTAGAAAATCCAGTTCTCCAATAGAAGATGTTTTTTGAATAATTTTGGCAGCAGAAAAATTGAAAGTGTGATTTTAGTTCTGTTTAGTTTTAGTTCTGGTTTCAGGCCACTAGCTTATTTTCTGTCCAGGCTTTATTATCTTATCTGATCATTATATCCTATCTCGTTCATTTGCACTTTTGCAGCTGAGGATGGTGGTTCGGTAAAACCATCAAAACTAGTCCTGTGAAAATTTGAAAATATAACGCCGATTTTTGTTGTTTGACTTCGGAATTAGTACTCTTATAGTTAATCGATTGTATTTATTTTTTTACAATTCTTGAAAATTTGCTAGAAATTTTTCGCAATAGCCAAAAGGAAAATATTTTGAGTTTTTCTTTGCTAAAACTTCTAGAAAGGCAATTTTAATCTTAAATCCCTTTATAGAAAAATATCCATTGGATTGTATAGAAATTACTTTTTGTTTTTCTATAAGGTAGCTTAGTAGCATATAGGCAGTTTTAACGTTATTTAAACTAGTTCTTTTAGAGCGCATTAGAGAAACTGACATATCAGCATAATAAAAAAATAAATCTTATCAAAATCATAAAATGTTTATGTTAAGAATGGTGGATAAAAGTCAGCATTTTAGTTACATTTAATTTTTGCAAGATTAAGAGTTGCAGATGCATGCAAAAGATTTCTGCTGTGTATGTAATAATGTAAAAGAATATGCATGCCAAAAATGGTTTTCATTTTGCTAATTGTTCAGTTCAAGTTGTATCATAGTATAGCAGACTAAATGGGATTAATGACAGCAAATTAAAAGCATTGATTGAAGCTGATCACATGTTTGTGAGTTTGCTGAGAACTTAAATTCATCCCAAACAACCTTTAATGACCATTTATACAGTTTCTTTAAGTATAAAAGAAATTTATTTAATGCAACACGTAGCATCTGTGATTTGTTTTCAAAACCAAAATGAATTTTATTTAAACCAGGTGGTAACTGGAAATGAAAAAGAAATTATCTAGATCACAGGTTCTCATCCGGTGGTATGCAAACAATCAAAGTATTTTTAACTATTAAATTCAAAAATTAAAACTCCAACATCCTGATTGAGTTTTTTTTCTCTAAACACCTCTAAATTTATGCTATCTGAGCTTTGTTCAAGAGTGCTAGTGATAGTAGTACTTTGTAGTGGTGGCACATGGTACTAAAGGTTTTCAATTTGTTTAGATGGTATGTGTTAATCAAAAGGTTGAGAACCGCTGATCTAGATCAACGTAGTGTAAAAACATAGTGGTGTAAACCTGATGAACTAGCTCAGAAATATCCAAAGCTGTTATTCATTTTTTTAAAATCAGTTTGTAGGAACTGTAAAGGAATTATTTTTCTAGCTTTTACTGAGGAACAAACTGATCATTCCTAATGTATATAACTCTGAACAGTTACCAGAGTTGAAAGATGTTTTTCAACAGTTCAGAATTAGTGAACTGTAAAGATATGTGTCATCATGACAGCATCCAGCTATAACTATACATCGTAAGTCCCTGCTCAGGAATAACTGGAGCTTAGTTGGGATGAATTACCATATGCATCGTGTATAGCCTTGATATTGCAACATTGTGTTATCAGTTGTTTCTTCTTCTGCTGCAAAATTTCTTCTTTAGTAAATCCTTCGAGTAACAATTCCCATTGGAAATTTTTTTTGGCAAGATCTGTTCAGCAGTTATTAATTGGAAGAATAAAATCGCTAATATTAAACAAAGAAAATATTCATATTCTTTGATTATTAATTACTACTCAGAAATCTGTAGTATTATTTTTTAAAAGCATAGCTGATAAAAGAAATACACTTTTATTTCTTAGACTTATTAGATTCTAAAGGAAAATGTATTCAAGCAGGGCATATATAATAATTATGAAGTGTTCTTCCACTGGAAACTAAGAAAATCTGGAAAAGTAAATGCTTTTGTAGTTTGGTTGAATATTAGGTGAAATAATTACAAATAAAATACTAAAATTACTATTTTGTAGTTATCACTTGTTTCTTTAAGAGAATTTTTGTTTTAATTAAATTGTTATGTTTTTCTTTTCTGACACCAGTTGTTACATTATTTTCTTCCTTCATGTGCGTATGGGTTTCGTGAGGATTTAGAGTGAATAATGACAGTACTTCTTGATGAAGTATCAAAACACACTTTATTAGCCAGTATTGTCAGGACAGCTCCAAAACACATTTTTACAGTCATTGATGAACACGCTGACACGATCAGCAACACAGCCTCCAGGTTATCAGGCTATCATGGTGGCAACAGCTTCACGGCAAAGCACTAGAGTACAGCTCCCGAATTTGCTTGGTCATTCTCGGAACTCCACATACTCTTGAGACTCTCCATGCTACAACTCGCGATGCACTTGACAACACACAGAGCACAGCTCCCGACTCTTCGGTTCATTCATTCCCGGAGTTCAACATGCTCTCTTGACAATACACTAACTGTGATACCCTAACTCTTCGATGCACTCGACGACCCACTTGGCACTGGCTGCCCGGCTGTCAACTCGATCGACTCCACACGGACTGACTCGTTAGACGAGACACCAACTTGATACCAACTATCTTGCAGTCCAGACGAGGCACACTCTCGATACTTACTAACTGGCACTCTGACTCGCCCTCTCGATGAAGCACACACTGACTGCGGACCAGCAAGGTTTATACAGCTTTCGGCTTGTGTTCGAGAACATTCTGGGCTAAACCAGTAAGAATTCGTTCCAGAAGGTTCTCCATGTCTCCAAATGGGCGATTTCTCACCAAATGTGGCAACTCTAAAACTGCTTTGCGAGGAAGCCATCTGACCGCGCCTGTACATTTCATAACAATATATATATTTCATTTTCACTAATTCAGAAAGATATGCTTTACAACATGTTTCAGACTTCATTTCCGTGTCTCTTAGATTTTTTAATGATGAAGCTGAAAAATGATGTTTTTATATTTACTGTGATTTTTAACACATTGCATGCAGGAAACGTGATTTCCTTTTTCTTTTTTTTCTTTTTTTTCAGTCTATCATTAAAGCACGTCATTTACATGACCCGTGCTTTAATGATAGACTGCAAAAAACTCAGCCTTCTTATTCAGGGCTCCGGTGCACTCCGGCTAGAATTAGAATATATCCCAAAAACTAAGAAGTATCAGAGCCGGGCTCCAGCGCAATTTAAGCTCTGATCTCGGTATCTATTTGAATTGTCTACATTGCTTATAATCCATGATCATTCCAAACATCTACAATAAACTTTCTCATGGCAACTACCTCTTTAAGACAACCACCTTTGAAAATGATTTGTTTCTGAAAATATAAATATGCATTGGTACTGAACATACCTCTTGTATATTATTTGGAGAAGAATCGTTGTATATTCATCTTGTCTTTAAGTAAAACTAAAAATAGCTTAATATTGGTAATACATTAATTTTGACATGAGTGAATATATTTACAGTATTATGTTTTCTTTTCACCAATTCTTGCATGCTTTAAGTCCCTAAATTCTTAAAAGAAAAATAGAAACTATGTTTAATTTTGAAATCAGGATTGAAATATTTTGATTTAAGTAAAAGAGAGGTCTGGTACACTTTGAATGTTGAGTCATGAAATTGTTAGAAGATAACAAATATAGTGGTTATTGAACAAAATAGTCAGCACATCACTGAATAAAGCTATTTTCTTTACAGAAATTTTAAAATGCAATTCAAACAAATCATGGATTTTAAAATGCAATTCAAACAAATCATTTTATATTCTGCATACTACTGGCAGACCTTATTATGAAATAATTAAAAACTAAAGAATTTTAAAATTTCTTTTATGAGATTGCTTTTAGGCGCACATGTATTATATATGTACTGCATTATATTTTTAGAGTTGGATCAGCTGTCCGGAATAGCAGCTATACTTCGCTTTCCAATGGAGGAATTAGAAGATGAAAATGATTCCAGTGATGAAGATTAAGAAAAGGATAGAGAAGAGATGAGAATTGTTAAAGTTTCCTAGAAATGTCTATAAGTATACCTCTTAAAAACAAATTGCTGCATTTATTTATTGAAATTGTACATATTATGCAGTTACAAAATTTTTAAACGGGTGTATATACAAAAAGTGTTTATTTGCTATTAGGTGAAAAAGTAACTAAATTTTGTACTGTTGTCATAACTATCTCAGCAGATGCTATTTATTTATAATTTATTAGCCTGGAATTGTTATGACAGAGAGATGTAAATTTTTTTGGATCTAAATTATTTTGTAAAACTGGAAATTATTACTTTGACCAAAAGCTGCATAATTCAAATTTAATTATTTTAAATAAATGTTTTTGTTAGTTGTTGAATTTTTTAAAATATTAACGAGAAAATTTTTTTTTTTTTTTTTTTGTTTTTTTTTTTTGTGATTTTTATATATTAAAATTAGAAACTGTATATATAAAAGGAAATACAGGGTGTTTCATTACTTGTTTGATCTGATAAGTGAATCATTACTGAAATGTTATTTTTTATGGGAAGTTAAATGAAATTGTGGCAGAATGCTAAAAATGTGTACTTTTTTGTTTCAGATGCGGAAGGAAGTCTTTCCATACATGCCAAATAGTTTAGCAAATAAGTAGGTTAAATGAGGCTAGATTTGGTAGCTACACTGCACTTTTCATTCAATACACATTCAAGTATTTTTTTTTTTTTTTTTTATCTACATCATCTATCTTACTACATCAGCATTCTCTAATAGTTTCTAAGTTAGACATTATGGTCTGCATACTGATTCCAGTTAAGTGCATACCGAGTTGAACAAGTTCATACACATACCAAATGGTTATTTAGAAACACATATGAGCTGTTAGCCCTAATTTAAGGTATCTAAAAGAATTCACATTTATTATCTTGGATCATAGAAATAAATTTTTTACTTAGTATTGAATGAGTTAAAATTAAACGACAGAAAATACTCTTCAAATTCTGGAATAGGAACAATTTTCTTAAAAGTTATTCGAATCACACAATTTTGTATGTTACCATCACTGACTGCTAAGAAGATTTGCATATGTTTGACTCCCATGAGCAGAACAGCTAAAATCAGAAATATTAATATTGGAAATATATTTGCATTTAAAATGGCAGCATGATGGGAAATTTTAGTTTCATTCATTCTCCTATTTCTTACGTATAAGGTTACCGTCGCTGAACAAACATGCTTGTATTCATCTTGCTTATAAGGGGTAAAAAAATCTGATGTGAATGCCACATTGACTTCCTTGTATGGCTTATGAAATTATACAATTATTTTGCTGCATTTCATTTAACCTTATTTCCTCAAATTTTATTGGAGATATATTTCTCATTTAATTAATTCATTTCTCACTTCACAGCAAGGTAAAAATGCATAAAAACTCAAAATATCTTCATTGAAAATTGTAAAATATAGAAATCGATAACATTAAATACAGTTAAGAATGGTATTTGCAATTAAAATTAGAATGTCTCTGCTAAAACAAGCAAATGGGAGGAAGACAAAATTTTTGGTTCACAAAATTTAAAGCTAATTTTTGATCCCACCTGGCAAAAAGACACTGAAGGTGGTACATCATTTGTAAAGAAATAGCGAACATGTTAGGCCTAGTATGATTTAAACTTTTAAAATGTTAAAAAATTCTAGAACTATTGTATACAGGTTAATTAAGGCATAAAAGCCTTGACTAGAACATAATTCAATCACTGTTAAAGGAAAATATACAATATTTACAACATAAAAGAATAAACAAACAGAGCTCACCAAGCCAGGTAAGAGGGTAGTAGATGTTATATCTGTCCCATATGCAAAACTTCAATATTCTGTAGCTAATTGTTTTTTAGTTATATGAAATACATACATACAGACATCAAGAAAAAAAGTCCTTTGTTCTGTCCGTACATACAGATGTTATGCAAAAAAAAAAAAAAAAAGCATTTAAATGAATTCGAGAATGGTCAAAATGGATATTTTCATTGAAATATGATACCCGAAATTTTTCGTCATTGCAATACTTCCTTTACTTTATACAAAGAAGAATACACATATTAAAAAAAACTAATAACTTTTGCTGTTAAAGGCCATATCTTTAACAGCAAAAGTTATTAGTTTTTTTAATATGTGTATTGATTTTAAAACAAACTTTTATGGGGGTTTTAAGTAAATTGTCTACAAAGTTTTAACTTCTTAAATATGCTTCCCAAAGATGTACAAATTACAAACTTTTCTCGAATAATAGAGAAGTTTACAAACACAATTAGAATACTTTAGATAAAAGAGTTCCATTAATGTAAAATTTTATTTATGTACATCAGGTAGTGAAGAATTCCATCTAGTAAATATTCATTATGTTTTACAAGAAACTAACAGTATCAGCAAAATTTGCAAAGATCAGATTTTTTTTCAAAAGAAATTTTAAGTAGAGTACATGTGATAATTTTGAAGTTAATTTTAAGTATAGTCTTTCTTCGAAAACCAAGTTCCATAAATGGAATTGTTACTGGTGCTTAAGATTATCATACAACCACTAAACATTCATAGTTTTGGGGGGGGTATTTGATTATGACAAAGAACGTAAGGGCTATCTGCCTTAGAGGGGGCATGCTTTCATGAAGGACTTTCTAAGGAACACTCTCTCATCTACATGTTATACTTGGGGAAAATGTCATGCAGTTAACCTGTTTGCTGAGATTCAAATCCTGGGCCAAACTACCAGTATTCAGAGACTTTACTGCTCTGCCGCTGATAGACTGGTTCTTTTTACTGAGAAATATTCACTTCTTTATAAGGTAGAAAAGTAGAGAAACTTATTTTTGGAAAAAGATGATAAAAATATATAAAACTAAGTATAACTGTTTATTTTGCCTATAAATATATTACAGAAAATGATGTAATATATACAAATTAGTATTTATCCTGAAACATGTACAATCTACATAATACTAATACAATGAACTGAAACAAATATGAAATATTAACAATATGAAATGTTTCATACATTGGAAAGCACTTTTTCATACTTCACATTAAAAATAATCTTGATATCTTAGTTTGCTTTTTGGTACACGCAGCATAAGCACAAGCTCATTGATCTAAATGGTTATTTGTAAGTAATCACATCATCATGCATAGGAAAATAGTTATTAAATAATTTCATATAAATTTACTTTGGCTCAGATTTTTCCATCTTCTGCAGAATTAGGTTTTTTCTTGTTCCGAGTTATCCACGACTCCACAAGCCATATTGCAGCAAATGCCAATGAAATTATTCCAAAGAAATGAAACATCCAATTATATGAACCTATTACATCACGAAACATACCTAAAAAAAATATTCAGTATAACTGTTGAGAAAAATTTTCAGATCTTATCATCAGAGCAAAAAGTACATAAATAGCATTTGAATATTTAAAATGATACCCAAAGTTGCATTTTCTTTTTTAAAAGAATTAACTGAAATATTGTAGTCAAGATAACAAAATTCCTGTATTTAATGCAGAAATTTTTTTTTTAATTTATCAGTGTAACCTATAAGAAAAAATGTCTTCTTTTACAACATTATGTCACAGCATGTTATAAAAACACAACATATGACTTCTTTTGTTACAAAATTACATTAAAAAAAGTGACCATACTTACTGTTTAATGTACACACTTAGAATTTCTTAACACACATTTTCAATTTCAGAGAGTTTTCTTTAGTGGTCTCTAAAGAAATATTCTATGCAAATGAAAAATTTTGCATTAAATTTTCAAGAATGTCTTGAAAATCAATTAGTCAAGTTTTATAGTTGACACTGCTCTTCTGTATCTTCATCTATAATCTACCAAACTAAATAATTAAATTGCTAAATATGCACTTGACACAATCTGTCTGAGTTTCTTAATGCACATCATGCAATAGATAAATTTCAAATTGCTGTTAGCATTGTACTTAAACAATGTACAATGTAGAAAATACAAATCAGTGCACGTAAAGGCAGTACATTTATTTTTAGGAGGCATAAGTACCATTCATATATTGTAGCTAAATGAAAAATGTATAACCATAACATTTTAACTCGGAGGTTCACAAACAGAGGGAAACGTGGTTAGCCGTATATTTAGTTGGTTTAGTATTTAGTTTATGAATATAAAAATCTACTTCTATTCAAGTGTTGGTGTGTACCAACATTTTCTGTGCTCTTTGTTGTTTATTAAACACATTAGAAAATAATCCAAATAAATATGTGTATTTTTCAAGTTTTGGAAAGGAAATGATATGATCTAGCAATGGTGAAAGGGGTGCATGGAGCAAAAATGGTTGAGAACCACTGCATTCTACTCCAAAAGAAAGCTAAATGTTTAGGAGTAATTCTTGACAGCAAATTAACATTAAAGAAATCATACTATATATGTCACTTTTAAACCAGTAAATACATATATGAACATATCTGGAAGGACAAAATTTATGATTCGTGATTTTTTTAAGTCTGGTAAAGATACCAGGCTTAACCCTCTGACTGCTTGATTTGTAGACCAAAATCGCTTCAAAAATTGTGCCCTTTTTTTTTTTTCCCCATATTTTAAATCTATATGTATTGGAAAATTGAAAAATGCACTTTCTCTTTCTAGAAAATGTTTTTTTTATATAATTTTTAAGAAAATACAAAGCGCCAGAAAAACGGGCAAAAAGCGGGATGCGCTCCTCAATAAAGGAAGAAAAACACATGCCTGCGAAAATCGCAGGATGAACAGATTTTTGCTACATTTGAGTTGCCCGTGAAATTCGGCGGAATGAGCAGTCAGAGGGTTAAAGAAATTTTCCGAGTAAGAATTTAACATTTTCAACAAAAATAATGAAAATTTTGAGTAAACCAGACTAAAAAATTATCTTCTTAGTACCAATAATGATTACTTATATCAGATTTTATATAAAGGCAGCGTTTTCTGAAGCTCACAGCTCTATTCATATAAAGTGGTTCTCAGATCATGGGGTAAACCAGAAATTGTATTTAATAATAAGAAGGAACTAGGAATGTGCCAGATGGTTGATCACATCATCAGTGAAAGACTAGGACAAAAACTGTGAAATTAAATATTAATTGATGGTTTTAAGTACTTTTCCTTTAACAGGCTACAAATGAACCAAGAATATAATGCAAAGAAATATCACAAAGTGTCCCATTAAAGGAAAACATTAAAATATGATAATAACCTGCAAATTTTATTAAGATCATCATTCCTGTCCTTACTTTGCTTTATTTACTGTGACAGACATAGGCCTCTGCATAGCCTACATCTGAATCGTATGGAAAATTTATGGGAATAATAGTTCAAATGTTATATGCTTAAGATAACCAATTTGTAAAAGATGTAAAAGTTAAATAATTTGTACAAATTATAAGGAAGTTGGTGAATGGTTCCATTGTCTTTATTTGCACATCATATGTACAGCGTGAATCTGAACAAATGGGCAAAAGTTTAGTGGGTGATAGAAGGCAGCTATACGAGCAATATTTGTTGTAGAATCTATGGTCGGAACGTATACGATGAGTCGCTTGGGGTAAGATAAATGGTTTAAAAAGGGTCAGTCTTTGCTCCTAACGGCATTTTATACTGCAGATTGCTGAGAAGATTGCTGGTTATACAAACCACAAAATTTCCAGTCCGATGGATTGGTCGAAGTGATCCCATAGCTTTGCCACCGGATCGGTCGAGTTTGGATTTTTTCTGTGGGGCCGTATGAAAAGCCTAATCTACGAGTGTCCGATTGAAACCAACATGGATCTAGTCACCAGGATCGATGTTGTTGCCAGCAATATTCAGGATATGCCTGGCATCTTTGCAAATGTACATCAATTCCTCTCCTGCAAGTGTGAAGCCTGTTTATAGCTAGTGGAAGATCTCTTGAGCATGTTCTGTTAATAAAATGTTTTCTGAAGTTATCTTCTCATATTCAGATGTTAATTCTTCAAATGTAGCAGTGGAAAACTACCCTTTAACTTCTCGCCGCTTGTGCTTCACCTTACTTTCTATGACGAATATTGCTCATATAGCTGCCTTCTATTCCCTATTTTGCCTAAATTTTGTTAGCCATGCTAAAATTTATGAAATGATGTCTTCTTGATAGTTACCAAAATAGATCAAAAGACAACATAGTGCAATCAAGGATATGAGAAGTTTTGAATAATGCAGAGCAAAATAAGATTGACTTCATTCTCAATTTACACACTTCTGGTTTGCCTTGCCAATGAGGTCTGCAAAGAAACACAACTTCTAAATTCTCATGGGAGATTTGGCCAAATACTTATGATGAAGAGGTAAAGAAGTATTCCAAATTTTTCAGATCTTCCATTTTAGTAACTGTTTTCTGAAGTAGTGAATTTGCTGTGTAGCAGATTTCTCTGGTTAACACTTGAGACCTTTTCTGCTCGGCCAAACCGGCAACTCAAGATGATTTTCTGCAGATTTGGTGAATTTCTTACTGCTAATTTAAAATGATTTCACATTCAGTTTAAAGAACTCTAATGGTTCTTTTATATGTGCAGATATGTAAAGTCCTGCAGCTCTTTTGCCAGATGCAAATGATACTCTTTGCAGTATTTCTTCAGATTCTGTGCACGTTATCCATCTTGAGTTTTCTACATCTTCTGCAGAATCGCAGTCACTTTTGCATTCACTGTCTATTGCCCTGATTTTTTGCCTTCTTATATATTTCATTTAATTGCTGTTTTTACAATTGCTCTCCTCCTCTTAAATGTCAAATAGTCTATGCATAGATGTAAGTTCATTCTTCAGCAACAAAACATCATTCATCTTCACTTCAACCAATTCCTTAATTGTATTCTGTGCTTATTGGGCTTGGTAACTTTGAAAATAATATTCTTATTGTCGTGTCTGTCAAGTCCAAATTAACATTGATGATACATATATAACAATAAATCTAAAAACATACATAAGATTAAAGCCCCCCCTATTTGTGATTTATTTTTCTTAGCATATGCAAGCTGATTTTTAGTGACTGAGCATGCCATTAAATACAAAAATTACTAAGTGATGCAGAGCATGTTCATCATTTTAATGCAAAATGGAATTTTTCTTAAATTTTGTCATATATGTCATAAGCTTCTTTAACCCCTTTGCGCCGACTGTCACGTATACGTGCCAGCAACGAACACACTTACCTACCGCCCGATATGCAGGCATGCCAGAGGATTGTTCCATTCTTTACCGACTGTCACGTATTTGTGCCAGTACTTTGGAACGTTTTTCAAACTATAATTTCTGCCACAAGATGGCACTGTATGTCCATATGGTTTCAGATACATGTAAATTAGACCTTCTACTCGAAATGACAGAAGCATGACTCACATACACGTGTTTTTGATTATATAAACAAACGGGAAAAATAAATGTTTCCGAATGTCGTGATTTACGACGTCACTTTAAATCGCACTTTATTCGCACGTTGTAGTTGTTTACTGTAAGTAGAGAAGTTTTATTTGCTCTAAAGCGTTGGGTATTTCGGTTTGCAGTTCAGTTTTTAGAAAATAATTAGATCTTGTTAGACGTGAATTCTTTGTTTTTACCGTTGCAATGTCGAAGCGTCGAAAATGTTTAACAGAGCATGAAATAGCAGAAATGATGCAAAATATTTCAGATATTGATTCTGATATTCTGATATTGATTCTGAAAGATTAACTGAAAGACATTTTCCAAAACTTTGTTCAGAAGAGACTGATAAGAAAATGAGATGACGATGCTTCGTTTGTTCACATTCCCGGAAAAATCTTCCAAAACGGCAAATGAGTTATTACAAATGCAAGGAATGTAACGTAGGACTGTGTGTAGCTCCCTGTTTTCAAATTTTTCATACGAAAAAAGAATTTTAAGCAATATATTTAGTTTTCAGATGTATAATGTTAAAATTCATAAAATGGTGAGTAATTGAAATAAAATTAGTAAAATATGCACTTAAACAAGAAATAAGGTAATTAAAGTATATAAATAAAAATATCTATAAAGCATAAGCCGTTTAAATACTCTATAGAGCATTATTGAACAATGCGTTGATACTTCGGAAATTTCATGGATTTAGGCTTAGTAGCAAAAAAGTCCCTGGCCCTGGAGAGACGCTCGCGTAAGACACTGCTGGCCTCAGCGATAAGCGCGCGTTTTCGCTACCCGGCTCGAAGGGGTTAAAAGTCAAATTGATTGCAAAGACCGTAATCATTTTTGAAGTTTCCTTGGCTAACTAAAAAATTATCTAACACTCTCTAATCTATAATTAATAATGAAAAAGATATAATTTCCTCTTCTTTACAAATGTGGGCAGGACAC